TATGGACTAAGTGCTATATAAGAAAGAGTTAACTTTTTAATATAATCAAAAAGGTGGGATTCATTTTTTCAGGTTAATGACAGGGTCAACAGTTGGCTTAATTAATAGGTACATATTAAAGATACTTCGAAATAGAGAAGAAAATATTCATTCAAAAATCAGTAACAAACCACACAAGGAAAACAAACACAGAAGCATTCTCTTCTACATTGCCTAACTACTAAAAGAGGAAGCTGGAATAACTATGAACCTGACACTTGTTCCTAACTTTGACAGGAACCTGCTTACATGACTATTTTCTGTCTCCTGTCTTCCCTCTAAAGAAAGTCTTCAGCTCTACATGAAAATTGCTATGTAAGTGCAAACAATGAAACTAGGACCAAAAGAAATTCTAAAAAAAAATACAGTACCATATTAAAACGGAAAAAATTACCCTGTAATCCCACTCTCTTATTTGTTTTTTCTGCATAGTATATGGCTGTTAAATTTTTAAAGGTAGTGGAATAAGGTCTTCTAAAAGCATTTAAAGCAAAAATTAGAAGTCTAAAATAGAGTTATGTCAATAAAAAGCCCAGGTATCATACCTAGCATTTTCTGTTACTAAAAAAAAAAAACCCTCAAAAACCAGCAACACCCTCTCTTACCTGTTATACTAAGCTTTGATGCTTAAGAAATAATCTTCCTCGTACAAAGTAGCTTGTATACCTAAATCAGGGATTACATCCTACAAATAAATCATCTTCTGTGTGTAAGAAAGCATAAACAATCTTCTCATCTCCTTTTCATCATAGAATTTCAGAGTCTTTGGTCACTGCCCTTCCATTTTCCATCTATTAATCTAGACAAAAGGTTATGGCTAGCAAAAGTTATTCTGACCCTAATAAAACATAGACTGGAGCATAGAAGTAACAGGAAGAAGAAAAAAGTGTAAATAATCTTATCACATTACTTACTTGATTCTGCCTAATCAGTTTGGATGGCTTGGTACAAGCTTTGCCAAGTACAAATTATCTTTCACAGGAAGCACAATAATGCCCCTAACTCTAACACTATTGTGAATATTCCACAATGCTCCATATATCAGAGAAATCAAAGTCATGATAGAGACTATGACGTGCATAACACAATAAATGACCTGTAAAGGAGATTGAACTGGCCTTAATTCATTGTGGTATACATTACTTATTTTAGTTAACAATTAACTACCAGAAGGTTGCATTTTTTCATCCAGCTGGTGTGAAAGAGGCATTGATTGTAGATTTGAAAATGGATAGATTCACTTAAAAGTGAAAGGTTTTCAAAAAACACACAAAAAACCCCTGACCTGCATACATGCAAATAGAAGATAAACGATCAATTTTTATGCCCATGGAAATGTTTGAATAGCTTCTTAAAACTCAGGTGAACACATTAATTCAGCCCTTGACAGCTCTCACCTTGCATAACCAATATTTATGTGAAAGGTGACTCAAAAAGGCAACTAACCTTGCCTAATGTTACAGGGCTCATATTCTCTTCATAATCTATGTTTGAACAATTGCTCTAGTGTATGAGACACTAACAGGCTGTCCTTCAACAACGTGTACAGAATCTGGCATGTTCTACTCCCCTGCTTTGAAAAAAGGTGTGTAAACAAAAACCACAGTCAATAACCCTAATCTCCAATTCTTTGTTGCTCCACAAAATGTCATCCTATACAGTGATGCCATAAAGCACTTTGAGCTCAAATAAACTTTTTTAAAATAAAAAACCCCAAGCACCACCTATGTCAAACCTTTACCAGTAAGAAACTGCACTGTGAAAGATACTTAGTCCATCATCTTCTGCTGAAAATGCATACAAACCTTTAAAAAAATTGCTGCATGGTTTCCTAAGTGTTCACTTGCAAAGAAATTATTATGTGCATTACTAAGACAAAAATGGGAATAAATATTCAAAGGAAAGATGACAGAGCAAAGCATGATGCTTGCAATGCATTTCTCTACTGTTGCCCATGAACAGGAAAATTTTGGCACTGGGACTTGTCACATCAACTCAAGTATATGACAGAAGTAGTGTTGAGCAATGTGAAAACATAACTAGTTTTGGATTTAAAGAATGTATTGATTAACCTAGTGCTAATAAATGTGAGTGATTTGCTGAGTTACATTAGTCTTCCTTTAAAAATGGGACAGGCATTTACATCTTCGAATGAAATCAATCAGGGTTTTTTCATTATGTGTTGATAATCTGATAATTTCCATCTAGATAGAGCATATAAAACACTTAAAACATAACTGCCCTTTGACAAACATGCAAAACTTACCTGTGAAAACAGAACATCAAATACTAAAGCATACATTCTGACATAATCTCATATTAGTTCATACTTTAAATCTGTGCTCACAACACTGGAGATCATCTCTTTTTTAGACGACAAAAAACTGCTACATATTTTAGGATTTTTGTTTTGTGTATGTTAGTGTCCTAGAGAAAACTAGTTTAACTCATTTAAGTAAACACAACTACTTTAAATACATAATTACAATACCCTGAAATCAGAGACAGAAAAAAAAGTTTAGTACTCCTTACTTCTTTCTAAACAGAATATTAATTAAAAGCCAGATAAATAAAAGTCTTGAATACTAATATGTATGTGTACATAGCTTCCCTCACTCAAAGCCTCTCTTCTGGAGGTCATCTGGTCCAAATCCCTGATCAAAGCAGAGTCAACCTTCAAGTTAGACCTAACTATTTATGCCAATACAAATAAATAAATACGAACTTCTTAAAGTGGAACTCCTAAAAAAATTGTCAGCAATTTTAGGTCTCTAAGGACATTTTAAATAGCCTTTTCTTATTTACAGGAAAAATACATTAAAAAACAATAAATTATAGCCACAGTACTTCTACTTTTGACTAGCAAATGCACTTACTATAAGGTAGGCTTCAATTCACTGATGTAAAGAGAGATTACAGAACAGCCTTATCTAAACTACCCTGAATTATCATGTTGACTCACAACTGACAACTCGTATTGCCTTAAAGTTACTTCTCCTTAACAATAAATACCCATAAACTTATGCTGCTACATGATTTTCTTCTTAACTCTTTTGCTTGCTCTTCAAAGTAGCTGCACCTCCAGGGAATTCCCCACCACTCTGTGGATAAGATAATAAGGAACAGGGATTTATAGAAAATAAAAGCTTTACTGGGGATCATGGAACAGAACAGGAAAAATTAGAGGCATGAGGACTATGTGATAAAGAAATCTGTGCTGTAGTTACCTGGACAACTGTATATTTCAAATACCTGCTAAAATAAAACTGCAAGGGGGAGGTTTCCAGGTGTGCTTGTATTTAAGTAGAAAACATATAGCTACATATACAAAAACACCACGTGAAATGAATTCCCTCCTGATAATCTGCTCCTCCAATAGATGGCAAGTCACTTACAGAGGACTAAGAGATCACTGGCGAGCTAAAATGTACGATAGTACCTTTTGTGCCAAAAAAACCAAGTAACATACCACCTAAAACTCTAGAATAATGTTCTCCCCTCCACTCTTCCCTCTCTGCACTTTCAGGCAAGGCCTCAAAGAGCCTTCACCAAAACAGAACAATGATGCTCTCAAAACATAGCATACACACAGATGAAGACTGCTGAGGCAGGGCAATGACAGACAGATAAACTTAAGTTGAAATAGAAAATCACTTTTGGACAAGTCTGGATGGGGCCAAAGAATGACTACAACCTGGGCCTCTTCTTGGTAACACGATGGAAGCAGAAAAGCTGCCTTTACTAACAATCTGTCCACTTTGCACCAAGTTAAGGTCACACACACACACAAAAATCTCCAGGAAATGTAAACCACCTACAAACTCCATGAGGCATTTCATTATTGCTAGATGATTTATCACAGACACCTTTAAGCAAAAATTTATCAGATACACACACAAACTAAGGGACGCCAACCATTTCAGAAAGAGAAAACAGTAAAATTAGAATCATAAAACTTACAGGGAAAATGTGAGAATGTATTCATTCGTATCAGGAACAGTTAAATTTCAAGTTACATTCAGTATAACCTTACTAAAGGACAGGGAAGCTGAGAAAGGGTTATCTGAGTAGGAGACACATAAGTGATCCACGAGACTCCTTCCCCATAGACTACAACTGCTTACCAGCAATCCCATGTTGCAGAGCAGTAAAGATCAGAGAAAGAGGTCATTCTTTGGGAAAAAAAAAGCACTTCCCCTTCTTGGGGATTCCAAGAATTGCTGTGCTGATTAAACAGTTTGTGTCTACAGAATAATTATTACAATACAGGGCATTTCCTCTTTGGGTCTATGACCCAAAACCTAATCATGATAACATCCTTGGAATCTACAGATTGTGGCCTCTCTACCAATGAGCTCAATGCAGTTTTTAGATAAGACTGCTTCAATGTGATTATAAGCTTTTTCTAGAATTCCCAGCACCTACAGTAAAAAGACGACATCACCTTAATAATGATTAAACCCATCTAGCTGCTTTGGTTTACACAAAGCATTGCTCAAGCCTCCTTAGCCCTAACTTTCCCCTTTCACTCTTTCAATGCAACAGCAGAAAATAAATAAAATATATAAAAATAAACTTCCAAGTTCTATAGCAAGGATGTAAACACATTTTAAACATTTTGGTAGTCAAGGAATGATGTTTACTACTGAGATTAAAAAAACACATCAGCTGCAAGAGGAAAGAGGATAAGTGAGTTATGATTCAAAAAAAAAAAAAGAGAGAAAGACATACGCAATTAGAGATGGAAGCACCAGAGTTTTTAAAACAAGATGCCTGGAATTTATGACCTATATTTGTATTAAAAAAGCATCCACCAAGATAATTTTTTTTCTTAAGATAGGTGATGAAAGTTGTGTATATCATAATCAGAAATACATCATGCAGGTAGCTAAATCCAGACACTTATTCTGGTGTCTACATTATTTAATGATAGCCATGCAATATTATATCGATGAACTAACCTGCAGACACGGGCAGGAAAATACAGGTTCTGCCAGGACCGACAGAGGTATTTAGAGTGATCGATAACCCGAATCCAGTCTAACTCATCCATGGACACCTCAATGTAGTAGGAATAAGACCTATGGATTGTCAAAACACACTGGTTAGAATACAAGCAGCCACATTTTACGTATTAAATTTTACACTTTCTTCTCAATTTTCAGTTGTGCTGTAGAGCAGGCTATTTGTTCCTACCCACAGACTGGTATCTAAGGTATCTAAAAGAGATCCCTATTTTCAAAGTAGCTTTGAAAATAAATTCACATGCAGTTATATTAAGACAATTTTTCAGATTAACTTAAAACATCCTAACAATCACAATCTGCAGCAATTAGATGAGACCACTGTCCCTCAAAAAAGGCAATGGAGACTTTCAACTCAGTCATAAAAATAATCATTTGTATTTCTTCTGCATGGAATAAATCTAAAACACCAGTGATAGTTATTATTTCTATTGCCTTATCCATAAAGAAAAATAAAAAAAAATTTAGCAGATCAAAAATGTAAATTCAAACCCTTCACTTGAAAAAAGCAAATTTGCTTTATAATCATTTTCTCACTGATGTTGTTCTTCACTTCCGACCCTTTCAGTTGTTTATGATACATTGTTGAACCTGTCACTACTTACACACCCCAAAACTACCTCATCAAAAATAAAAAATAAAAACAGTCACCAACAGAATCTGTGTCTTCCTCTTGTTTATCAGTTATGTTTAGCTTACAGTTTGCTGTTAGGAGGAAAGCAAACCCAAACTAAAACTTGAAAGCCACAGCTATTCCCATATTATACCTACAACAGTGATACTTAGAATGAAGTAGAAACTCCACTTGTAGATCAGCAAATCGTGAAATATACATTTCAGAATATTTTCTTTCTCTTAATGTACTAGTCTGCAATATTCACAGACAATTCAACAGCACCATGTTAGCACTTACCCTCCTTTCACACTGATTTCTAAAAGAAGAGTTGCTCTTCCAGAGTTCTACATGGACATGTTTTGTTAAACACTAATGCCTTTGTTAATATTTCCAATTTTTTGCTGAGGACTTAGAGGGGTAGATGTCTAAAGTAGTATTGTTTAAAAATTCTTAAAATGTTAGATAACACTGTTAATACCAATTTATGCACTTAGAAAGGTAATGCAGAGTCTGTAAGATTTCAATTGCATAATCAGCTTTCACATTCACACCAACCAGATGTGTAATATTCACAACCCATATAAATACACTGTATTTTAGCAACATTATTATTGCTAACCTATGCATATGTGACTGAACTAGGCTTAGAGTTTGAGCAGGGTGGATCCAAAAGTTACTGACTGTCTATCCTCTGTGTGGCAAGAATTTAGGGATTCTCACATCTCCATTACTAGTCTAATGTAAATTTGTAACCAATATACAACATGTTATTCTTCTGGTTGCTGAAGGTACAAAGCAAAGAAAAATGATCTCAAAAATACAGTTCCATTATCATATACAACACTATGCCTTTTATTTTTCTTAAGGATAGCATGTTTTTTGCAGAGGTAATTTGAACAGCTAGTCTGCTTAGCACTCCTATATCTAAGATTCATCTGTTAATAACACCTCTAAACTAGAGGTGCAAAACACACGTTAGTTTGGTTTTGGTTCTGTTAAGAATGTACATTATCTATATGAAGACATCCAATAGACTAGAGCTTTACAGGGACAGTTAAAATGAATGAGTAGAAACCACCATGTGCTTGTACAGTTGCTAAAACGCCTCTTTTGGAGGCATTATTCATGTATCCCATGAGAAAGATGCAGGTAAGTGGCTGGCAATTCTTAGACTAAAAAAGTATATAGATTGGAAAGGATCTCTAGACAAAGTGAGGACAATCTTAGACTAAGTTCCTTAAGGTCTCAGCTGGTAAAGTTCTGCATACCTCCAAGCGCTGATATCCCTAACCTCTCTGGGCAAACTCTTCCCAAGTGCAACTACTCCATTATGAATTCTTTTTGTAATATTTAAAAGGAATTTATCGTGTTGATTGTGTCCACTGCTCTTCGCCCTCTCAGCACACAGCTGTAAGAGGAGTCTGGTCCTGTATTCTCTATATTCTTTCATTAAATAGGCAAAGACAGCAATAAGTTCCACCTTCTAAGCCTTCTCCTCTTAAAACAGCAAGTTCTCTCAGCATCTCCTTGTACATCATGTTCTCAAGCCCTCATCGTCTTGGTGTCATGCTGAACTCACTCCAGTACATCAGTATCTTATACTGAGGAGTCCACAACTGCACAAAGTACTCCAAATGCTTCCTTTTCCATTGATCTTAGACAGCTGAGCTACTGGGGGGGAAAAGGCTGACAATTCAGGTACTATACCTAATAAGAAGCAAAAGAAAGTCTAATAGCGAAGTTTCCACAGAAAAACAAAAAATTCAGGATGACACAGAAACCATATCCTAAACCACTGTACCCTCAGTATTTTACGAAAACAAAAAACTCTAGAGTAAAGGTCCATCTTGGCCGATATGCTGCCAGCAGCAACGGCTTGTTCTACAAACTTCAGAGGAAGGGCATAGGACACCAAGCAACAGATAATTTTTTAGTAAGTTGTCCCAAGGAGAAGGGTTTTTCCCTGAGTTTCAGCAGCTGCCAATTTATGCCTTGCAGACAAGGGGCATTTTGTCAGTTACAAGCTCTCTAAAAAATTGCTAGAGAACTCCTCATTATTAATATATCTCTAATACTTTTTCAAATTTTATAAAATTGGTTGATGATTGGTTTATAAATTTGGCTGACAAGTACTATAATATCTGCGTCATATAATATGACGCAGTTCCTTGTACCTTCAAAGTTTTACTTTTCCATATCTCCAAAAGGAATAGAGGAGAAGCATAAATTTCGGTTGAACTCAATCAGGAGAACTTACTTGAAACAACTGAATAGCTAAAAATTAATGCAGTTTATTTAGAATTATTAATAACTGTAATTCATGTTTAAAAATATTTTAATTCACAAAAAATAAAAATAAAAATCAATAAAACATTAGTACACCCTTTTCTAAAATAACACAGATTAGTTAAGAAAACAAAACGCAACTGTTTTGCAATTCTAAACTGTTAGTCTGGAAGTAATATAAAATTAATCTTTTATCAGAAAGGTAATAATGTGTTAAAAGTATAAGTAGCTTGGTTTATTGTTTTTAATAGAAAACTGCTTATGAATACCTGCATGAGCTGTCTACTAAATAGTAAAATCTTTGTCATGGCAAGTTATAAAATTAATATATTTAATTTGTCAGATAAAGAGAACCTTCAATTTTCCTACTTAAGCAGTCACTCAGTTGTTCAAATATGCATAATTTGATCTTTCATGCATTCCCTAATAATCTAAAGTAACTGAGCATAAATTGGCTAAGGCATCCATGACAGTTCATAGTTCACCAGTCTCACCATGAAGCAGCTTCTAATAACTACTGTAGTTAGTTGGTAATTCACATCCTAAATAAATTTTACTACCTCTGAATTATTGTCAAAGTGTGTTATTTCTTAACAATTTTGATATATTGAAAAAATCTGAACAAACATTCCTTCAATGTTTGGAATGTAAATCTGTAAAAAATACAGTTTCTGCAGAAAAACTAGAATATTGTTTTTCTAACTAAAATAAAAACAGTTGAAAACTAAGTGGCAAATAGAAAACAAAACAATTTAAATTACATAAACTTTCATTAGCAATATAAACTATTTAATGAAGACATAGAAAATACATTGAAAAATTATGAGGTAGCTTAGTATCACAAAATATGGTCTGGTGTGTAAGTAACCAAAACTGCATTTAAAAAACCAGGGTGTTTTCAAACAAAACTTGTCATCTCAAACATTGTATCATGGTGTTTCTATAAAATATTTAATGAATATTCTGCATAGATATATTATCACCAGTACGAAAAGCACTACCTTTCTTTTTTATGTCAGCTTGGCACCTACCGACTATCTCTGTCCCACAGGAGTATTCGTATATGGTTGACTATTGACGGCTGGCCTAGTTTAATTTCAATTCCAGAACGGCAGTCATCATCAATGGGGTGTCGAGAGAAGCCATGATCCAAGTCATAGTTCTGAGTATCCCCATCTAACAAAGCAGACTTCAGCTCTCCTTTTACAACCTGCGCTCCATACTTCATTGTTGCAATATTCTCCCCTGGTACTAAGAAGAAAAGGAAATAACTGCTTAATTTTTACGGTCTTATAGTGCAAATTAGATGTTCTGAACGTCAACTGTATTAGGTCAGAAAAAAGATTTATTGCCAGTATCCTTTCTTGGCCAGAAACACATGCTTAAGGGAAAAAAAAAAAAAAAGTACAAAAATAGAGGCATTTTAGAAATGTTGCTTCTTCCATTTCATTTGATGCCCCCCAGGTCTTTTACGGTAGTAATAATAAGGAATGATAATGTACTAGTACGTAGTATCTACTTTCTCAGTCCCCTTCTGATTTTACAGAATTCAATTCTGTATTCCTCATTCAATCATCACTTTCCTCCTGGTTTTAAAGTTTTGGTCTATTTAGTCTCTCCTTGTGATCAGCCTCTCACCATACCTCTAATAATACTTTTGCCCTTTCTTTCCTATTTTTTTGTTCCAATTTCAACTGTTTGTTTCTTTGTTTTTAAGTGGAAGGAAACTAGAAGTCACATAAAATGTTCAAGATGTGGATGCATTATGAATTTGCAGAATGGTATATAGAGTGGTATAGCTATACAAGCTATTTTGATAGCTACACAAGCTTCCAGTACTCTGCAAAGCTAAACAAACCTGAGTGAAATGGGAAACTTTGGGCTACTTGGGCTTTGAACCAACATGGTAAAGCAAGTTTTTTTATGCCAGCATTTCACAGTAATAAACCTGTTATGTCCTAGGAACAGATCTTCCATCAAGATAACTGGGGATAATGATCCCTAACTCCAACTACGAAACAATATATTGAAGAACCATCCTGTTAAAAAGACATTTTTAACAGTCTGCTTTGAGAGAGACCCTAGAAAACATGATCTGAAAGCTAAATGATGAAAAGCTGCCCCTGTACTCTTCAGGCAGGTTGGTAACAGAAGTATGAATTTTAACAGGGTGTTAAGTTTAACATCGAAAGAACAGAATTTGAAGTGGCAAAATTTTAACTGTATTGTACTACTACTACATAAAAGCATCAAATGCACAATCATGAAATTGTAAGTGGTTGTCAATGTTTTCACAGAAAGAGTCCCAAGAGCCTGAACTAGTACTAAAACAACACAGCAATTCAGTTCTCCAAAAACATTTTTGCTTTTGACAAGATTTTGGCAAAGCTAGAAATTTTGAGATTAGGAGCATATTATTTTTGAGACATAAATATGCAGAAAAAGAAGTCAGAAAACACCATTTAACTTTTTCAAATTTATCTGCTACACTGTCAAAAGAATGCCTTGCATGACAAGACTTTTACACTATCCTAATGTTAAACTCATACATTTAAATATTAATATCTGTAACTTCTAAGAGAGAACAAAGCAGAGATGCAGTTGTGAGAAAGCAGTTATTTTCAGGGCTCATCATGCATGACTGACAGCCTACAGCGCAAGCTCTCAAAGAACATTTAACTTTATTCTTTGCTGTGGGGCAAATACTCCATAAATCACATGTTAGTTAGCAAACTGACAATATCTTTCTAAAGCTCGGTGTTAGATATTCTTGTTGAATTAACAGAGAGCACAGACAAACAGAAGTCAAACAAAAGACTTCTCACACTTTTTAGGCTTCCATTAATACAATTTTGGAAGACTCGTTTATACTATTTGGGCAAGCATGTAAAGAGTAAGAGGAAAATCAAAAGCAGTGAAGAAAGGATGAAAATCTTCATGAAGCAGAAAACAAGTCACCATCAACATAAAACCATTTAAAACTCATATAACCCGCAGTTTTTATTTTTAATGTTTTTGCAAAAGTTTTTCTGTTAAGCCAGCACTTTCTCTAGGACAATACGCTCTTATTACAACATTAATGTTTGAGCAATATCTGAGATACAAAGCAAGAAAATACGTTTACTAATATTATTTCAGGAATAGAAATGGCAAGAACAGTACATAACAAGATATTTCATATGTAAGCCTATTAAAACACATAATAATAGATAAAAACTCAAAGCACAGATTAACCACATCCTCCAGGCAACTATAGTCACTAAACGAGAAAAAAAAACAAACAGAAAACCTGATGCTTACTTAACATGCCCCTGTAGTTGAGGTCCATGTCCCGACTCTCGGAACGAATCTTAATGGCATCTAGGATAGCATCAGGTGACAACAATCCTGAAGGTCTTACAACATTTAGTAGTTCGGTTAGACTCATTAGTGGCAAACGTACTGCTTGCATGATTTCAGCGTGGTTTTCCTTGGGGTTATGTTTACACCAATTCATCAAAGCTTGGAAAATGTCCTTCTCAGGAGCTGCAAATGAGTCCCTCAGTACAATACTTAGAAGAGCAGCCTGGAAAAGAAAAACAAACAAAATAAACCCCAAATAAACAGAAATAAAATTAAAGGGGGAAAAAAAAGGAAATTAAAATAAGGCAAAAATTAATGGGTATTTTAACTTGTTGTTAGTAAAAATAATCTCCAAAGGAGTGACTACCTGAAACTGTAGTTTTAGTTATTTATGCAAGAATTATAGAATCCATCATGTAAATAATAGGTCATATTACAAACCCACTAGGAGAAGTAAGTCAGAACTGAAATGTGAACTACTCCCAGTTACCACTTCAAATTTACTTTGGAATATAAGAAGTGATCTGGGGATTTGGTAGTATAGTTCAAAGCATTCCTTTAAACTTAGGTTGGTATAAGAACACTGATGCAAAAAATAAAGTGTGGCTTGGAATCACCTTTTTAAACCATTTCTAACTACTTGGCATTTCCACTACTCCCCCCCCACACCTTCTCTCTCTCTTTTGGTACCAACTTAGAATCAGCAGGTAAAAACTCCAGTGGTTCTTATTCATGCAGAAAACCCACTGACTGCAAAATGAGAACAAAAAGAACTGAACAGCTTTTTGATTTTCACTTAGCTAGCAGAATAACTAGGAGTTGGCCTAAGAAAAGGATAAATCTCTCATATATACCAGGACTGTGTATGCCAAAGATTTCATAGAGTATGCTCTTCCATATGAATTACACTTTCTGATTTCTTTATTGATAATATGCTCTCAGAGCTCAGATTTAACAAACTGCATGACAGAGGATAGTAGAGAGAAAAAAACATTTTTTTTCCCCTACATAACTAGTAAGTTAGTCCACGGAGCAGAGTGTCTTGCACTTATTGAAGAAATAGACCCATCACAGCTTTTCCACTAAAAACACTTTAAAAAAAATCATAATTAAACTATCATTCATTCAAGATGTTCTGCTGCTTCATATGAACACCACTTGAAAATACTCTATCATTATTATGTCCAGCTCAAAGACCACTGCAGAGTAAGTGGAAAATTTATACATCATAGAACAGCCTGACTCAGGCACAAATATTTATGCAGCTAACAATAATAACAAAACCAACACACAAAAACCCCAAACCACCCTACAACACCACCATTATTATGCAATTTCAGAACATGATGACAATCAGCAATATATATCACAGTGAACTCCAGAATGCTTTAGCTTACACAGTAGAAAATCACCCATCACTGAGGCAGCATATATCAAGAAATTAATAGAATGGAGTATCTTCTGCTATCTTCAAATCTTTACTTTCTATCCCCTGTGGAGCATTCAGAAGCAAAATTATATTATTTCAAGAACAGATGAAAAAAGACAAATTAATATTAGGTTGCCTGCTCCCACCTTTTAGAACACTCCATCAGATTTACTATATTTAGCTATACTGACTGGTCAAAGTTAAATACCTAAAAAATTCAGAATAGATCACCAGGATTTTCAGTTCAGCTTGGCTTGAACACTTCCAACTGTCACAGTTTCACTAGTATAAAATGATACCTGTTAATTAACATATAAACTCATATTTTATCATGAAGTTGTATTCAGATTAAAATTAACATTCCTGGGGGAAAAAGTGCAAACAAAAGATATACCTTAGAAAGTGATAGGAAGCCTTCACTGGAGAGCACCTCTTGGGCATTTCTATCCATGAACATACAGCACATACAAGTTAATTTGGGAAGGGAATAAAGACTGGCAACATCAAATGTCATACAGACATTCTGAATATTAAGTATTGTGCAAAGATACTCAGACGTGGAATCCTCCAGTTCTGGGAACCCATATTTATGTGCTAGGCTTAGGAAGTCTAGGAGAACCTCCTCTTTCTCATCTCGTAGTGTAGCACGACCAGTGTAAATATATTTCAACAGCATGGTAAATGCTTCTGCAGTGGTGTCCTGAAGAGGAATTTCTGCTTCAGGTTGAGATTCTCTCATTCCGCCATACAATAATGCTCTATAAGGAAGACAAAATTTGAGAAATTTATATGCTGATAAAAAACAGGCAGAAAGTAGAAAGTGGAAGGAATGACTATCTACAGCAAGGAGAATACAAAGGGGATATGGTTTAAGAATCTACAGAAGAAAAACCCTTCTACTTGACATTTAAAGTGCAGCTCTGCTCTGAAAGCAGCTGCACAAGAATAATATTCTAATGCATCGTGCTTTTATCCTACACAACAATTGCTCCATCTCCACTTTGAACAATAGCTTGCAAAGCAGAAATTAAGATATTATTTCATACCTTCCTTTTTTTTTTTTTAAATATAGTGCTATCTGTGAGAAAGAAAAAAAAATGAAAAATTTTCAGAAAGCAAGTGAAACAAACAGTTTGCCACAATATTAGCAGTGGCAGATTAGCAAATTTTGGGATTCTTGATCCTCTATTGCTTACTCTAAATCCAGCACACGGCAACTCCAATGAAATCCTGAATCTTGAGAAAAATCAAAGTACTCACAATTATTTTTTAAAATATGATAGACAGTTTGAACACAATTTGCATTCACATTTTAGTTTAGCTATTAGTTTATCCCTCTGACAAAACTAACTGGAAGAAGATTATCAGGAAGTTCTATTAATTATGTTTAGAGTGAAAAATGCCCAGCTCTTAAAAAAGCTGGATTAGTATTATTGCTAGTTTTAAAATATATATCCTAGCCTGTACCAGCCAGACCTCTTGAAATACTCAATTCCAACACATCAAAATTAAACTTTCTAATTGAGTATATTCCATAGAAGCACACCATCCATACTCTGAGAAATCAAAATGATTTTACAGCAGAACTTTTCTGTTCTGAAGTTATCTTTCTCTTGAATTTGTGAAACTACCTTCAAAATCCAATTTAATGAAGGTCAAAAGAATAACATCATGACATGGTATTTATCTTTTTATATTTGGACACAATGATTTGATGTGCTGGGAAACATTCACACAGAAAAGGTCACGCTCAATGGACAGATGATTACACCCTGAAAAGTTCATAGAGAAACACTATTTATCTTATCTGCATGAAAATTTCTTGTGAGTCTGACAAAAAACTCTACTTCACCTGAAGTAATGGCACCTAGCAGCCAGGATCACTCTGTGTGCCGGAAAACGTTTCTTTTCTACAATAAAGGTAACGTCACTATATTCTTCCCCATTCATTAGAGCACCGATATGCTCTGACAGAATGTGAACGTGGTCAATCTCACCCACAGCTGTGTAAGGACGAAGTGGATGGCTGTTACTCATCTTGGAGGGATGGTGATATTGGTAGCCTAAAGGGAAAAAGAAAACAACCAGTATTATAAAGGGCACAAATATTAAAAAAAGGCAAAGATCAAGCTGTGATTACGAAAAAAGCAACTAGTGTTAAGTTACCATATATTACAAGAAAAATGAAGCCAAGAGGTTTTCTATTAAAGTTCATTTACAACAGGACTCAATGTAGTTTGCACCAACAATTCTAGCTGACAGAAAATATTTCAGAGAATTCCATCACCTTGTTGTTCTGTCAATCCATTTACTTAAAATAAAAAGCTTCCAACAAAAAGAATTAAAAATTAAACAATTTTAAAGTTATCATTTATAATGCAATTTTATCTGAATTAAAAGGCACATAAATTATAAAGAAGTAAATAATTTGACCAATTAAGCATAGTCTTACTCCCAAGTCTCTACTAAAATCAGTGATGAGTAAAGCCATCAGTGTTTTTGCAGAATTCCAATCAACTTTCCAGAAACGGAAGAAAATAGACAATTAGGATAACTTTTAATAAATAACAAAGTCTGTCAAAGATCAAAACATTACAATGTACAATTCAATTTTGTTACCCTTTCCACTCAGTTTTCTTGACACCTTCTTGTTCCCTCATATATGTAAGAAAATAAACACCCTAATACCTCTCAGTCATAAAAGTGTGAAACTGTCCACTAATGTACAATACAGACTAATGCATTAGTCATATCTTCTATGGAATTATTTTGTTACTTCTTAATTCACAAGAGGTTTTAGTTTGGTTGATTTTGGTTTATCTCAGCAACGGAAGCTTTCTGTAGTCTCAGCGGCAAGAGCATCCACAGGACAATTTAGGCTAGCCACTTTTCAAAATGGGCACATACTTAGTGCTGAAGAAACATGGTGTACCACAAGAAGCAGGAAAAAGATGAGGCCATACCCTGCACACAGCTAACACAATCTTTCAAGTGAAATATTCATGACACGAATGTATTTTTAAGCTATATTTTTAAAGTATTAGAAGAAGATATGCATCTGTTTCCAGTCATTTCTACCCCAAAAAAGAAAACAAAACACACACACATGGGGTTAAGTATTATGCAACACCTGGAAATTTTTAACCCAAAATCAAGATACAGTAGAAACACAGTCCCAAAGAACTTTAAACTAAACTAGAAAAAGTGATAGGAACAGAAAATAAGATTTGAGAAAAATACAGCATGCTAAATTGATATTACAGATCACAGCACAAAAGGGAACAAAACCCCAGCTTTCCTCAGGCTGCCCCTGCTACTTGAATCAGAAGCTGTGTGCCCATGTAGCCGTTACAGTGTGGAAACAGGAATGCTGGCCGAGATAACCAGAGACAGCCTAACCATGGGAACACAGAATACTGTACAGTCATTCTTCTATCCTGACATGAGAGTAAATGAATTTTTCAAAGTAACAGACTGTTTCTTCCATTTGCACTGGTTAATTTACAATTAGGTAAGACAACTCTGCACTGAACAAATTTATGCAACATACACTTCCAGTAACATTTACTTTGTAACACACAAGATTAACTTCGCTCACATCAGTCCAGTTGCATCTATTTATACTAGCAATAGTATTTATCACAACATAATTGTTTGAGAGTTTATAGACAATAGTAAAATTGAAATGCCCTCAAAATAGAAAACCTTTTATTACACCAAAGGAGTAAACAAAAGGATGCATTGTTACTCAGTTGCAAATCTCAAGTCTCAATACTCCTTCAAGACTTCTGTACCTTACAAGTCTACAATTGCTGTTGTTGATCTTCATTCACAATGGTCAGGCAACCCAACTACATGTGAGCTACATGCACATTATTAAACAACTCTGTACTATCTCTCTTCTGCTAGTTCTGATTTTGATGGATTAGAGAAGTTCATTTATGATACTTCATACATGTACAAGCACAGGCACATTTTGGTTTTAAAATCTATTTTTAATTCCATTTTTTCTACATTCTATTTCTCCATTTCCTTCATCCATTCTTATCTCTAAAAAATAAGAGCAGGTATTGTCTGCATAAAACTGAGAGACTGTAACAGTGGCAAAGATAAAGGAATGCCATCAGCTGCACACTAACTTTGCTTCCAGTAGCTGTGGATGTTGTCATGTGCCAAGAGGGTGAAAAGTTCAAGAGAAAACTGTTTCCATGTCAGGTTAAATAAATAAATAAAATCAAAAGCACACTTTCCTCTCAAGGGTACATAAACCTCCCTGTACATGAATTCTCTGTACAAGAATCAGCGTATAGAAGAGGACGACGTCTGAACTGGGGACACTTGCTAATAAGCCAATGATGCCAGTCCTTATGAACACCAAGACCCTGAACTACAGCAAGCAATGAAAGTAGAAATTTAGAAATCCCTGTGCGTAAACTGCAAGATAAATTTGTTTTGATGTTCAATGCTCTCCAAATTGCTGGTAAAATGTACTACTCTACATTGTCAACCAAGAACATGCTGATCACAGGGAATACAGGACTCGAATGATGGCTACAAGCCTCTGTGTGAGAAGCCTTTCAAACGCTTGAATGACACAAGGTGTTGGAAACAGGCAACTTTATGAAACTATGTATATGCCTTATATGCTTTCTGTGGGTAACACTAGTATATTGAAGAACACCCAAACTCATTTATTTTTTTACTACAATGCACTTTCAATGCAAGTTTCATCTGTATTGAGGATTTTCCATATAAAGCAGCCCAGTGAGAGCAGTCCTGCCTTCAAAATACAGAACCTAGTAATACATGATTTCAGATCTTCCCAGACTGGATGAATTAATGGTACAAATTCAGTCAAGCCTTGAAGTGATCTGCACATTTCTTGTTTGAGGAAGTAAAACATAATATACTGCTTTAGTTGTGGCAAGTTACTATGAGCTCACAACTTCCCTGTACAGCTAAACCTGTATTTTTCTAGTTGCAACTCAAAGTATTACTTATGATAAAAAAAGATGGATGCTGCCAGGAGCTTGGCAAAACCCTTCCTGAAGATCCCTCTGTCATCTTCTGTCATAAAACAACATCAACCCTTTCAGAGAACACAGGTGTTCACTCTTCCTGGCAGTCAAAGAAGAACACCTAACCAACTTCAGAATAAAAGGCCAAGCCATTTATGAGTCTCTTGCCAGCACCACAACCTATTTTCAGGAGGTATTCAGAGCTAATTAACTGCTTCAGGAGTCAGCTGCTGCAGCAGCTTTGTTCATGCCGCAGAAATAAAGACAACAAAACACTCTTCTCATTGAGTTTGAGGCATTAAAACTGCAACAACCTCAAAAGGCATCTGTTAAGTCAGAAGGCCTGCAAATCACTTCTGTCTAAGACCCCACTGGAAGACACGCTTCTATGTGGCCATCTTCAACAGTAAGCATGTGAGAAAATTATGGCCTAGCATTCATTACATAAGGCAGTATGCAATATTACACGTGTCATGGCTAGAAAAACAACAACAAATTTCTTTTTACTAAGTAATCTGTAACATGTTACGGCATACAAAAACGTGATCTAGAAAATACAGCAACAACAGCAAAACCCCAATGACATCTTTACTAAACAACTCTCAAACCAGAGCTAAAATAAACACTGGTACTCAGGCACTTCCCCCCCTCATTTGGGCTATCACTAAAGAGTCCTCTGAAAAGCATTGCGGTTGCAATGAAACATGTAAGAGTTGTTTTTGTACTAGGCACAGAAGAAGGAATTTAAGAAATTGTTCACAAATAATTTGGAAATACCTTTACATAAAATGAATGAAAAATGTTTACATAACTGATAACCCTACTGAAACTTTAGAAATAAATGCAAGTAAACAGACTATTGCTAGGATTAAGTTTATTTTTAAAAGTCTAGATTATAAACACTGAGCAAATAATTTTGTACCCTTGAAACACTTAATTCCTTCATCATCTAGTTTGTACCTAGCAAGGTAATACAGATTTTGTCAGAATTACACAAAGGGCATTTTCTTAAATATAATTCTCTTACACTGCTATTTTATCTAGAAGCAGGAATTGGTTCTCAGTTGATTGGAAGGGATTTGAGCAGTATTTCAATTTTTTGTAAATTTATTACTTCATAAAATATTTTGCTATGCTTTAAATAAATTCCAGCAAAATATTACTTTCATTACAATTTCTATTACCATAGACTCACAGAGCATGGTAGGTGTGACAATAAGGCTACTGTACAAACATACCATTGTTTCAAATCATACGGCTTGTTTTTTTTTTAATGGATATACACGTCTTTTTATACAAAAATACTTTGTTCTCATAAGTTCTGGTACAATAAGCTAACATCTCAGGAAATAGGAATTTTTAGTAAATAGTTCAACATACATAGAGTATAACCCAAGTAAAGACTTTGATTCTGTCAGAACCCTTGCTACAGAAGCTCCTTTGTACTTCTGAAAAACAATAACTAAGTTGACTATGAGTAAAATTATAACAGAAAGGAGAAAAAAACCCAAACAAACATGTTCTGATACTTAGTATCCATAATAATAACATAATGCAGTATGAATTTATGGATATAGAATACGAAGAATCAAGTAAATGAAATTCACAGAAATTTTAAGTCTCATCTCCAACCCTTCTGTTGTGAAAGGATTAAAAGAAAAGCAGATGTTAACTGGTTAATGGTAAATAACCACACCATTGAATGACTGCATTCTAAACCATAATTTAGTACCAAAATGTTTTGACTTAAAGGATATGGGAACTTATGCACTTCTCATCTGTAAACACATCCCATTACTTAAGTACTGTTTTATGCTCTGCTCAGAGACATACTCATCTGATAGAAGAGCAGGAATAAATTTAGCTAGGTACAAAGAAAAATATACTAAGTACAGTTTATTTATTAACACACATCTAAAACAGGTATTAATGCACTCAATACAACCTGGTTAAAATGGCATACAACTAAACCCTTAAATTAAAATATCAAGAAAATACATTGGTCCGCTCACCAGTAAAGCTGTCTGAAGATCTACAGTGGACATAGCCCGTAGACAGATAACCAACTTCCTGAAAATTAGGGTTCTTCGCCATTCTGAACAACAGACGGATTGAACAGCAAGCTCATAGAAACGCTATTCAGCAACATCCAGCTACACAACAACTGTACCATTTCCTGAAACAATGCATGAAATATATACCATCAGAAACTGGGGGCATGTAGCCTATAGCAAAAGTGAGTGAGATACATATTTCTCAGTTAAAATTTTTGTGGAAAAAAATCCTTAAAAAATCCCTCCACTCTATGGGAAAACTTCTAATAGTGTTAGAACATTGCACTAGAATTTATTTTTTTGCGTCATCATAATTTAATTTTGACTATTCATTTTTTCAACCATCAAAACAGATGGTAACATATTCATTTGTTCATTATAAGCCACAAAAACTTCATCCTGACATTCCTGGTACAGCATTAATGTCCCTGAGAATACCATTCTCCCACATGGATGTCCCAGTTAAACCAGGTCTATACAAACTGTATCATACACATTTTATTCCCTACACATCCAAAGTTCTCTTAAGTGTTCCTGCCTAGCTAAAGGTTTTGGGGGTTTTGTTTGTGTTTTGGTGGTTGGTTTTTTTACAATACTTAAGTGAGTTGCAGGTCTTTCTCCTGTGCAAGCCTTTAATTTTACAAACAGGAAAACAAAACAAAACTGTAGGGTAAAGAAATACAGAGGCTTTATTTGTTTAAAAGCATAACCCATAATGAGCCTCTCTCAACAAGTATAAATTATTGTTATTCTTCCCATCATACCTGCCAGCAGGAAAAATAAACTGTATTTAATTTGCTAAACAGATGATACCTTGATCTATGAATTCTCTCATAAGAGACACTCTAATCTTCTTTAGAGTATATGTTTAAAGGAGCGAGGGAGGAGAAGGAAAAAAAAATATTTTTAGGTAGTCTCATGAACTGGAAAGTAACCACACCTTAATCCAGCAAATTAAAAACAGGCATTTCACAAAAAAGATCTCCTGGTTTTGGGGAATAACATGTAATATGTAAATATTTGTTCCTACAAGTTATGCACGTTATCAGATTGGCTTGTATTATCAAAATATATTCAAAAGCCATTTATGAAAATTCTTGTGGTTTTTCTTTTTTCAGACAAATATGAGTGAACAGACCCCAACAGAACAGTATACTTCAAGCACCTGATTTACAGATTTGTAACAGAAGACACACCACATACACCTGCACTGTTGAGTAGGCTCAAATTAAACCTTAAAACACATAAAAAATTAAGTGATCCCAGCACAACGCTTTGGGAGGGGGTCTGAGTGCTGTGCTTTAAAAATAACGTGAGCAAAGAGCATTGCTGGGCATGCAAGATTACAGGCAAACTGCTAACAAGTTAACATCAAGTTGTTGTTTTCTTGTAAAGTCTGATGACAGCTTCTTCCAAGTCAAAAGTAATTTCAATGAATCACAGCAGCGCGTAACTTGCAAGAGTAGTTAAGTACTAAGATGCCAGAAGAACCCGTGAAAATATTCTGTGTACTACCAAAGCGTCAAAATACTGAACTAATAAAAAAATAAATTAAAAGGAAAAAAAAAAAAGCCACGGCAGGGTCTTGCAAAGCGCAGGGGCAGGCAGGC